GAGCAATATGAGTATATTGGTAGATTATCTGACAAAATTCTAACATGAGGAGAGAAAAGGAAAGAGGCAGGCCTGCCGGCGACGAGCTATCTAATGTGTGCGAAGGGTTTAAGCGAGGCTCAGTGACTGTCCATGCTCAGTGAATGTCTATGCTCCGTGACACTGGCTAGCTGATTGGACAGAAATACTAAAAGGTTGACAGTAATACATATGTTCAACTGTTCAACTTCCTCGCTTTTCTCGCTGTAATTGGGTTCAACTTCTCGGATTTGCTGCTGTATCAAGTGTGTTCTATTCATGTTACTACAGTAATTTACTGTGCATTACCTGTATTGTTAATACTAATGTAATATAACGCACTGCCATACTGTGGCTGGTCTGTATCTATGTATGTAATAAAACAGGTCTATTTCAGATCCTTACACGACATGTGCACAGAAGTACAGTATTTGTACTGCTTGGTATTTTCTGGATACCTGCCAGCTCCTCTAAGCTAATGCCAACATGGCTTCAGTTTTAGGGCATTGCTTCTGCTGTCACAGAGCATGAGTGCCCATGCTCTTGACATCTACTATGGTTTTCATAGACAAACATCTCCTTAAGAAACCTCAAACTGACCTGAATCCTCTTTAGCTGGTACTACAGTCAAGTGATGGACTCCCCTTTCCACTCTACAGCAGTATGTCTGTTTATCCAGCCAGTCGTTCTTCTCCATTATTCCTATCATTCCTTCTATATAGACTGATGATGAATTCTACGAACGTAGGCCTCCTAGCATTTCTTATTTTATTCAGTATCATATTTTACGTATGCATCAAGAGTTCAAGACTAAAGATCGGTGATTTCATTATAAGGCTTATTATGACGACTCAATGCTTCAGCGCTGCCTCGGTGGCTGATGTCACGGAGCTCAGCCAGGTTAATGGAACATCAACTCATGTTCTACCTAGGTAGCTATCGACGAGAATAATTGACATGAGGAAGGAAGAAAGGAGGTAACGCTGTAGTTATCAATAAAGCAAACAACTGCAACTCATGTGACAGCCAGCCAACGTGACCAGGCCGTCACAGCTGATATAAACAAACGCTCTGTCCGCGCAAAAAAGAAAGCGCTAGTGTGGCCACACATCTCATGGATAAAACCCCTTTTCTCATGTAGATGGAATTCTCTTCTTCTTTTCCCTCCAGATTTGGTATTCTCGTTGATGGCTACACTAATTTAAATAGGGATATCATTTTGTTAGTTCAAATCTGTAACAGACATGAGTTTCGCTCTTTATACAGTTTCTATGTCTTGTCTTTGCCTTGACTTTTCCAAGTACTATCACAGCTAACTGTCTTCTTAAATTGAATACACAGTTAGATAACCATGAAGCCGTATATTGATAGGCTAGAATGGAGAAAGAACTAGGCAGAGCTTGCTAGACATGGGCCATCTACTTGTGACAACTCATATATGACGGCTTATATATGACGGCTCAACACTGCAGCAATGAATGATACATCGCAGATGCTGCTACCCAGCCATGTTGCCAACAACCTCTATAAAACCCCTTCATTACCTAAATAGATTTCCTCTTCTCTTTTCTTCTCCGGATTCGATATTCTCGTCGATGGTTGCAATAGCCTAGTGTGACGGCCCAACACCTCTGTGACGATCGTACGCTATAGGACCAGGAGAGACTTTCTCAGAAGCATCACAGTTGATGTATCATATGAGACACATCATATGTGATGGATCAACTCCGTGTCCAGATAAATACCCTCTCCTTCCTCTAGATAGATTCCGTTCTCCAGATTCGAGATTCTCGTCGATGGCTACAATAGTATAGATAGGAACCTCGATTCAATATTATCTACTATTCCGAGCCCGTGACACCTAGATAGGAACATTGATTCATTATTATCCACTATTCCAAGCCCGTGACACTACTGCGTGTTGAGAATTGTCAGGTTGTAACTCTATGCCGAAGACAAAGAGATCAAAAACAACTAATATCATCAGCTGTCTGACACTTTAAATAGAATTTGATAAATGGAAAACTATGATAGTGCCCTTTCCATCTAGGACATAGCATTATATATCTCCTTACCTATGAGGATAGGCGGGAGGCGGGGAGGATCAGAAAATGAGAGGTCAGCCACGACTTGGAAAGAATTCAGACCTCTTGAAGACCTTGATGTAGACTTTGTCTTTTTCTTTATGGCCATTTGCCAATCCCCATATTTTCATTATTGTACAACTCTCCTGGATACATGCATTAGGTTTAACTTCTGTAGTCACTACCGCTCCTCTTATCCCATGAACAAATTATGCATGCATGTATGCATGGTTCATTTTGTGACTCAGAGAAGTCCTAAATGCCTCTTGTGGAGCAATGAGCCCCTTGAATACACTGTCATCAATCTTTATTATGGTGTGGTTATTCAGCAATATGTACATATATTATACATGGCACAAGGCTATAATGTTTCATGAGGCTGAATAGTACAATTTGCACTGGTTTTAACCTCACAGGGCAGTGATAGGCAGTAATCATTACTTGTAAAGTGGGTCACAGTTGTAAAACATAGACATTTTGCTATTCTATGGCATCACTAAATCAAAGCGGTCGGTCTCGTGAGATAAGAATACAGGCTTGGCTTTGCACGTTTTATTTGGCTCCCTTGCCATCCTAGCCTGAGCAATCCCGAGTTGCTCCGGGATCACTCCAGGATCACTCCGGCGCGGTTCCCTGAGCGCTCCGGGCACGCCTCACCCTGCTCCGGGTACGCTCCGGGCGGCTCAGGGAGCCAAAAGCGGCGAGAAGTCGGACCGAAAACGGAAAGGGCAAGTGTCGAGATTTCCGCAGAAATGTATTACAATAGTCGAAACATTATTATATCTGTATTTTTAACAAAACAATCACCCCTAAAGATCACCCCACATGTTCTAATCCCCCCCTCCAGAAACCAATCTGCGGTCCTATCAAGCTTGTCAGCACTGGATAAACCTTTAAACGACCAAGCATTGAAATGGTTTCCATTGATTGCACCTTTCCACTTTTGCTGTATGTACAATATGTATGGTTAAGAGTTCACTGGGCATGTTAGACTTACCGGTACGAAAGCATTGACGACTCACGATTGCCCGGGTTAAATCCGGCTTGGAGAACACCCGATATACAGGCTAATAATGCTTTCCAAATCCACAACTCTGAGTCTATGCTATAATTATATACAAAGGAGCTGAGCCCGCCCTTGGATAAAAGATTTTCTTCATTTCCAGGTAAAACCTGCTATGCCTATTAGTGTTGCTAAGCACTACAGTATCAGGGTCCACGAAAGATTTCACGTACGGACTTTGATATAATTATCCACGATGCTCATGACATTATTGTTTGGCTGAACAAAAGGATAAACTAGCGACAGTAACTGAATCGCCTTTGGGAAAATGCTACATCGTACTACTTTCTACTGCTTGACTCGTAGACACTGCAATCTATGGCACGCCATTGCAGCAAGCTCTTCTCTGCATTTCAATGCTGTTTTGTTCTTGATATCTTGCTCTAGGGAGTCTAAAGAAGGCCCTTGCGTTCTTCTTAAACCAATTCCAACCTTTATGAGTGGATGTCGTTGACTTTTCTCAGCGTTGTGGCTACTGGAAACTGTAATCGACAGCCCTTCGATTTCTTTCGTACGAGAATCGTAGATTGGGAAAAAGCCATTGCAGACCTTATCACTCGCAGATAAAATTACCCTCACCATGGCGGATATGCCTGTAGAAGGTGTATACCATCTGCATGGTGTTTTATGGCAATACTCTACATATCGATTTTTCAAGCCCTAGGCCTACAACATCCATCATAGCGTGACTGATAAGTAATTAGTAAAATCTCTTTTCAATTAATCAAGAGCCAACTGTGGCCCCTCCGATACTGTTTCTCCGAAACAGACATCAGCAAAGATGCACACTTCCCTTCTACTTAGTGCTTAGTCGACGGCTCACACAACTCCACAACATGTTGGCGTAAATGTCTTGGTATCTAGATAAATGTAGAATCAAACTATCCATTTCTCCAGTATATACATAGTATTTGCCTATCATCTATTCTATACCGGTATCGACTTGCTGGTGATTCGCCACTAAGATGCCCCCTTCCTTAGCATGACAGAGGAGCTTCACCACTGCCTCATGTCCATTCCATGCGGCATATGATAAAGGTGTCCGACCATCAGAATTCTTGGAGTCCATATCTACTTTTCCAGTATCAAGCAGCAGCTTCACCACTGCCTCATGTCCACTCCCTGCGGCATATAATAAAGGTGTCAGACCATTAGAATCCTTGGAGTCCAAATCCACTCTTCCAATCTCAAGGAGCTGATGTACAATTGCTGCAAGCCCCAAATAAGATGCAATGATAAGGGAGCTTGCATTTGGTGGAATTAGAAAGCTCCATTTTGCAGCTCTATACCTATTGGACCATGTCTCATAAACCTCCGATCCCGGTTCACAGAGGATGAGTCCTCGTTTCACTACTGGATCCTTGCTTTGTATGCTGGCTGCACAAAAATGGGGTACCCAATTACATGCTGCATAGTCCAGGAATGTGCACAAGGGGCCTTCTGCGATGTTTCTTTGGACCAAATATAATGTGCAGGCTTCTGTGAAGATCTGGTGAGACGTTTCCGGCAGCAAGGAATGCTCCCATCTATCCATTTGAGAGTCCACAGGTTCTGCAGAGTCATTCCGCACTAAGAACTCCTTTGCAGTCTGGTGGAGAAAATAAACATTCGAGTCTACCACCACCAGAAAGAGTCCACAAAGATCTCTGATGGTTGTTTGGATTCGTTGGTCGTCCGTTTCGATGTGATCACAGATGTCCCCGATGGAATGATGGGCCCCTGCACTAAACGCCAAAGCCACAGAAACTTCTCTAAGAGACAATGGTCGTCTTGGTGCAGTGATAATGTGCAGTAGTCTCTCGGCCTTTTTAGGGTTAGGGCTCCGATTCAGGATCTTGTTATAAGCTTCATTGACATTTTGGGGTACATGGTGAATCACTTTATGGATCTCTCCGTTTGTGAACTCTGTCATGTTCTCGATGACATTCAATGTAAGGCTGACCCACAAATACATGCAATTGGGAACAGAAGTGAGCTGTCTCTGAAGAGATTCAAGCTGATCGGACTTTAGATTCCTTGGCGCACTGATATCCCTAACCCGCTTTTCAATGACCAAGTCTATCTCGCGTGAAATTTTCTTGACCTCGACTTCATCTTCACCGCTTAAATGGATTGTGGGCAGTCGAGCCTCCAGCTTGTGGAAACCGCGGCGAATATGGTCATACGGTCTACTCGTGATGAGGAACTTAAGATTGTGCCTCTTGACGTCAGGCGAGTAAAAGTCTCTCACGGCTTCAATGAGCTGCATGCGGTCATCGCTTTGGCACTCGTCCAAGGCATCCAAGATGCAGATAATTTCACCAACATTCTGCCCAGCTGCAATGGTCATCAAGATATTCCATAAGTCACTGAAGGATCTAATAAGCTTGTCTCCATCCGTATCCAGCTTGTCCATGACATAATCAGGTAGCAAGTGTGGCTGCGCCATGAAAAGTTGGCGTAAGATTGCGGCAAGTGCATTTGAGGCGCACTTCTGATCGGAAAAGTCGTCCTTGAAAAAGAAGTAACAAACTGTTCTTGTAGGGTTGGGAAGGAACTCATCAACCAAGTACTTTGTCAATACTGACTTCCCGCACCCTGGATCGGCTGAAACCCATAGAAGGCTGGAGTGATCGCTCCGCTCCCAGTTGTGGAACTGGTCATGGCTGGTAAACCAGTCACATGTACCAGGCACGCGCTTGTCATTCCGGTCTTTGCGGTCTCAGTAAGGGCAAGTGTAGAGCCGGTAGAAGAACGTTTTCATCCTCTCCTCTTGGGTTGATGTGGGTTTCCATATCTGAATTTGATCAACAGAATCTTGAATCTCACCAAGCCTTTGCTTGATGTCCGCGTCTCGTATCAGGGAAGTGAAACTCTGTGCTGAATGTTCAAATCTTTCATGACATGGAGGTGAGGAATCAAGGCAGAGGTCGACTCTATGCCCTGTAAAAGGCATTCATGTTGCTCGAAAGCTTGCACAACAAACTACAGATGACTCGGAATTGAATGACAGAATTGACTGGGGCAATAAAGGAGCCTTACCAGAAGACCAACAGTAACACCGGCGCAGGCTATTGCGGCTGGCGGGCTTGCAGATGCGGCTGTAGTAAATACATCCTTGACCATCAAGACATTTCGGAATGCTCTTGTGAGCTGTTCCTCGACTCCCATCTTGTGACCGCCAAACTGAACCACCCACTTCTTCCCTTCCAGCTCGCGATTCTTAGTTTCCAGGAAACCACAGAGTTCTCGGTCGGTTATCCCATCTGTCTGAACATTCAGTCCAAGGTGGTTTTCAAGGATTTCGGCCGATGCCGTTAAAATCTTGTTCGTCGTTTCATTCTGCTTGAGCCGCCATTCTGCTCTCATCCATAGATCTTCTGGTTCCTGGGGAGCGACTTGAGCGACGACAGGCAATTCTGGGCTCGGCGAGCAATCGTCCGATCGCTTCTCATCCGTCTTGTTGGGGGATTTCTTGCGGAGTCTCCTTCTGAAGCTGTGTTTGAAGCTATTTCCGAAGCAAAAGATAGGCATTGCGTTTCGATGTCCTTTGTAGTCCTTGGAGTCAACAACAGTGAGTTCTGTCCAGCCTGGTGTGAGAGATCGTCTCCAGCTGAGCGCCACGTGACATGTGTTGGCTTGAGGTGGTCTGACCGCAGATTCACTATTGCAGTCCCTCAAGTTCATACGAGATGCTTAGCAGAGTCCATATATTTTTATCATACTCTTTGGCTTCTAGATGGGAAATCAACATAGATACGTATGCTACGGGATATCCTACATCCTCTGCGAAGCGGGTAGCTCAGGATCGGGGTGTCGGGGTGTCGATAATCCGGGGACTGCACGAGGCTAATGTCGATAGAAACGTCCATACACATGTACGAGAGCTCTTCGTATTTGTCACGGGCTCGGACCAGTAGATATTAACGAATTGATATTCCTATCTAAACTAGTGTAGCCATCGACGAGAATATCGAATCTGGGGAGGAAAAAAGGAGAGGAAATCTATCTGGCGAGTACAGTCTCTATAAACCTTTGTGCGATGCGGCTTGAGCCCTTGTTTGTCCATATTGCTTGTATGGCATCTTTTGGCATGTTGGCACTGTTTGCCTGGTCGTTGAGCCGTCACAGTAGTGCGAGTGCTTGACTATCTGAAGTATGGCTACGGCGGCTTCTTTGAAGGATCTGGCAGTCTCGCCAATCGGGCCGTGGGCTAGGAAAACAGCTACCCTCAGCTCAGAGCGAATTTTTGAAATTTCCCGTCAAACAAAAACTTGATTGACCTCAATCTTGGCCCATTCTACTAAGCAGACTTTTTGCTATCGCCCAATACCCAGAACTCAGAATTCATGGTTGGTGGGGGTTATTTGATTTTGGCCAGTGTTGGGGCTCCAGTCCCTGAACTACTCAAATCATAGACTTCATAGTCAAGGCCACAGCACTGCTGGAGTTGGATAACAACAAACGCATCAAGCTACCCGCCCAATTTGTGGAGGCGTCTCTCACTAATTTACAAGTTACCATAATCTCATGACAATGACGAATACTAAGATCGAGAGGGTCTGCATCATGCAAGGACAAAAGCCCTGAACCGAGGCTGTCCAACTTTTCAAATGGATACGTCCAAGGGCGACACGTCTAAAATTTGAGGCATTATGATATATCTGTAGTCTAACAAAACAAAGATCACCCCACATGTTCCAATCCCTTCCCAGAAACCAAACTGCGGTCCTAAAAGCTTGTCAGTACTGCCTCTCCTGTCCATTTATTCAGGAATACAGAATACTTACTATCAGCCAGGTCGGAAAGATAGAGGTAATTGTGCGTCCCACAGACGCCATCTTCCCTCTCCAAGTTAGGCCAGTCGTGCCGCGAAGCACATCATTCACAACCCGCTTAGCATACACCGAGGCAGGCATACTAGAGCCAACAGATGCACCAATGCGTAGATCATTGATTTGGTCAATGGCTCCATGATACCGTGAGTTTGGAGGGAGTTCCACCTCTGGAGAATTGGTGCTGATGTTTGTTCCTACCATGCCGGTCATGACTGTCATTACTTTGACTCCAAATGGGGCCATTTCAAGGCGGAGGGTTTCGCCGTAGGATCTTATTGCTGCCTTGGAAGCGTTGTAGAAAGCTATTTCGAGTCAACTTGACATTCAATAGATATTCATATAGAAATGAGACGAACCCATCCACGGGACATAGAAAACAGTGGCAAGCGAAGCAATATCAACAATAGTCCCTTTAGTAGCAGCAACAACCAGCGGAGAAAAAGCCCGAGTGACAGCAACCACTCCCCAAAAGTTCACGTCGAATAGCTTCTTCGCTTGGTCCAGATCCGTGTCCAACGCAGGCATTGTCATAGCCTGCCCGGAGTTGTTGACAAGATAGTCTAATTTACTATCTGTTTTAGCCGCGACAGACTTAACAGCGGCGTTGATACTATCTTCTGATGTGACATCAAGCTCTAGTAGGGTTATGTTGGGGAGACTCTCCAAATGGGACATTTTGGATAGAGAACGCGCTGTTGCGAAGACATGATGGCCGCGAGTGTGGAACTCTTCAGCCAGAGCAGATCCAATTCCACCAGCACTGCAGCCGGTGATTAAGACGGTTGGGAGGGTAATTGCCATATTGAGCGTGTAGTGACTATAGTACTGAGAAAGGCTTCAATATGTTGTTCAGTTGGCGATAAGGGGTAAAATAAACATCAATGATGTCATTGCCCCTTTTTATACTGCGAACCCTGAGATATCTCAGTAGAATCTAATGTACACTATTATCCTAGACCAGGTATATTATGTGCATAATAAGAGATACAGAATAGTGTCAACTGTTCCAAGCTCGGTTAATAGCTGTTGCCGTTTTCTCTTGGCTGCCTTATGGCTGCCTAAGGATACAAAGTATTTGGTTGTAACTATCATTCGGTCATTCGGAACTTACGGTAATTTATGTGTCAAACTTGAAAGGTTCGATAATACCGTACCAATCCACAGTGGATACTGATTGATAAAGCGGATCAGATTAACTAACTTAGAATGTAGACTATCCCCGAGCTGTATGCGGACCAAGCCGCCTGCTCTTTTCTGTTTATTTCTGAAAACTGGCCGTATCTTCACGACTGTCCACGCTCCCTCTACATTACACAATTACATACATTGCAAAATGCAGCTTCGCGTCCCCCCTGCAACCCTCGCCAAGGGAAACCCGGGCATTCTCCATCCATATGTACATTTCCCACCCAGCCGAGGCAAACCGTAAGCTAACCCGATCCAGACACCAGGCCTCGTGGCCTTTGAATACACGCGCAACACCCACAACCCAAAACCACACACCCTCATCTTCATCGGTGGTCTAGGAGACGGCCTCGGCACAGTCGAGTACGTCGCCGACATCATAGAGGCCCTGTACGGCACTAAATGGTCCGTTTTTGCGCCCGTGCTGTCCTCCTCCTATAGTGGATGGGGGACTGGGAGTATCGGGCAGGATATCGATGAGATTGCGCAGTGTGTGCGGTATGTGCGTGAGTATAAGGAGAGTATCTGGGGGGCTGGGAAAGTTGTCGTTATGGGTCATTCTACTGGGTGTCAGGATATTGTGCATTATTTGAGCTGTGTGAATCCGCGGCCAAGGGATGAAATCGTGGAACAGAATGAGAACAAACGAGGTAACGGCAAGGTTCGTTCTGTGGAAGGGGTCGCGGAGATTACGAGGCCCGTGGTGGACGGAGCGATCATCCAGGCCCCCGTGTCAGACCGCGAGGCTATTCTGTGGGAGCTAAGAACCGGCACAGACCGTGACAGCCCGGCGACCATGCAGGAGGTGTGTCAGAGGGCAGTGGCGGATGCACAGACGAGCACGTACGAAGACCAGGGCAGTAACTACGGCTGCCCGCCCATTAAGCGGGATACGCTGGTGCCGGCGACTGTCACTGCCCGGATTGGGTATCCAGCCTCTACGGCAGTCAGTAGTCGACGGTTTCTAAGCTTGGTCAGTCCCGATAGTCCACAGAATCCGGATGAAGACGACATGTTCAGCTCGGATCTGGGTGATGAGGCCCTTAACCGGACGTTTGGTGCAGTTCGAGATCGGCATTTACTGGGGTCTAATGCTCGGCTGATGGTGCTGTATTCGGGAAGGGATCAGTCGGTGCCGCCATATGTGGATAAGGATGCTCTGCTGCGACGATGGCGTACTGCGCTGGGCAGGGACTTGTGGCACTCTGGCAGTGCGATCATCCCGGGAGCATCGCATGCCCTTAGCGATGACGATCAAGCAGAGCCGAGGCGGATTCTAGCTGGAAAAGTTCTTGCGTATTTGGGTGATGTGGAGGTATGATTAGCCTGGATAATTCTGGATGATGTTTTAAACCCGAATTCGATTGCTTTAACTTGAGATTTTCCCACACCGTCTCTTCCCAACATTCACTTGAGCAACCTTTCAATCCCAAGCAAATCGAATCCTCCCCCACCGTTCACTCTCTATCCATACTACGTGCCTTCATCGCCCGAATCAAATGGTTGATATTCCTGAAGTTTTGAAGAGTCCATATGCAAAACAAATCACGTAAGTTCAACGGAGGACGTCAAATAGGGAGTAAGAGCCGATGCTTGTCCATTTTTTGGAGAATTTTTGTCACAGGTGGTGTACCGGTAATTATCAAAATATGAAATACGCCTGTGGAATGTCCGAGATCTGATAATTCTTCGCCCCCATGCGCCGGTGCCGAGAAAATTCAATCCCACTGGCTGTGCCTTATGGCGCGCTTAAGCGGACCAAACTCATTTATATTGGGCTACGTAACCCCATACAGCTTGTAATTGGCTCTTGCTCGTCAATCGTAGATTAAAACGAAAACTTCATGTGGCGCTAGTCTCATGCCACCGTATTCCGAAGTCGGCAGGAATCCGACAATCTAATTTTACCGGATGTGTTCAACTGTAGTTAAGGACAAAGCTTTCCTTGCTCTTAACTATCTTCAGTTCTTGTCTATTCACCATTTCGTTCACCATGGGCAGGTTTCGAGCTGCTTTTAGTCGACAGACGACGGATGACGACGTGACTTCGGTTAACAGGAGTACCGTTGTGGACAATAAACAGGAGGATGCCGCTGGTAATGTCCCAGCAGACCATGTCCCGGACGAGACACAGCCAAATGCTCCCACTGAAGGGGCGCAGCGTGGTGTTCACAATGTTGAGGCCGTAACTTTGACCTGGTCTAAGAAGTCCTTGATCGCAGTTTTCATCAAGTGTGTTCCTCGATTCGACCGCGTATGTCCTCCGCTAACATGATGGATTCCCTAGTATCTGGTTCCTCTACCTCGTCAATGCCTTCCAATCGAACATTCTCACCAACCTACTCCCTTTCGTCACCAGTCAATGGGAGTCTCACTCGCTGCTGAACGTCATCTATGTGGTCGCCGATGCCATGTCTGCGGCTACCTTCATCCCGTTGGCCAAGGTCATGGACGTCTGGGGCCGAGCCGAAGGCTTTCTAATCATGACCGTGTTCGCAACCCTGGGTTTGGTTCTGATGGCCGCCTGCCAGAACCTTCCCATGTTCTGTGCTGCATATGTAAGACTGTCACTCCGGTTAGGACTCCGTCAGTGCTAACAGCCGGGCAGGTGTTTTACAGTATTGGCTTCGGAGGCATGACTTATTGCGTGGATGTAATCACGTCCGACGCATCCAAGCTAAAGAATCGAGGCTTGGCGTACGCCTTCACGTCGTCGCCCTATATCATCACGGCCTTCGCAGGCCCCAAGGCCGCGGACGACTTCTACTATAATGTTAGCTGGCGATGGGGATTTGGCTGCTTTACCATTATCTTCCCGGTAGTCGCGGCCCCTCTGTACTGTCTGTTGAAGTGGCACGTTCGCAAAGCCGACAAGCAAGGCATGTTGACCAAGGAGAGCAGCGGGAGGACATTTTTACAGAATGTTTGGCACTGGACCAAGGAGTTCGACCGTAAGACTAAAATTTCCATTCACTAGATTTCACCAGACACTAACTATACGCAGTATTCGGCGTCCTCGTGTTCTCGGCCGGCCTCATCGTTTTCCTCCTCCCCTTTGAGATTGCCAGTGACGCCCCCAACGGCTGGGGAACCGGATACATCATTGCCATGATTGTGGTCGGCTGCGTCGTACTCATCATCTTCGTTCTGCACGAGACATTCGTGGCCCCGGTCCCTATGCTCAACTTCAGCTTCATCACCGACCGCACAGTCATCGGCGCGTGTCTGCTAGACGCCACCTACCAGCTATCCTACTACTGCTGGGCAAACTACTACACTTCCTTCCTGCAGGTAGTCAACGACCTGACCCTCGCCCAATCGGGCTACGTGATGAACACCTTCGACGTAGTCTCGGGCGTCCTCTTACTCCTAGTCGGCTACCTAATCCGCCGCACCGGCCGCTTCAAGTGGCTCCTCTACATCTCCGTTCCACTATACATCTTCGCCCAGGGCCTAATGATCTATTTCCGCCGCCCCAACCAATCCGTCGGATACCTAGTGATGTGCCAGATCTTCATCTCCATTGGCGGCAGCATCTTCATCATCATCGAGCAGCTCGCCATTCTCGCCGCCGTCGACCACCAGCACGTCGCCGCGGTCCTAGCGCTCCTAAACGTCGTCGGCACCGTTGGCGACGCCATCGGCGCAACCATCTCCGGCGCCATCTGGACAAATACCTTCAAGAAGGCGCTGACCATGTACCTTCCCAGCTCGGCCATGTCCAACATCGACGCCATCTACGAGGACCTCGACACACAGCTGGGCTACCCGGTCGGCAGCGCCGCGCGGCTGGCTATTCAGAAGGCTTATGGCTATGCGCAGACGCGCATGTTGGCGGTTGGCACGGGTCTTATGGCGATGTCGTTTGCGTGGGTGCTCATGATTCGCAACATCAATGTGGCCAAGGTGGATCAAGTCAGGGGTACGGTCTTTTAGGAAGACTTGCGCTGGTGGGCTGGGTGTTTTCGAGATACCTCACTATTGTTACATAAAATGGGGACGATTATAGGGCTGTTACTGTTTCTTAATTCTGGACATAAAAATCTTTTGACATCAATGACACATTGCGCGTTCAATTACTCGTATGAAAGAAAATATCAAGTTCTTCGGTAGGAATACGGCCATCGGTTTGAACACAGGAGGGCACAGTTGACAACCGTTGAAATCTCGGCGATAATCCCACTCCAGAGATCCTGGATCCGAATACATGACTCAAAAGGAATATACACGCGAGATGTCGGATCAGATAAGACATTTACTCACATCAGGCATGCCATACGATGAGTTCTGGGCCACCGCTGGAGGACAAATTAGATTACTGGTAAGATCCGCTATCTGGAAAAATACAATTCTGACAATACAACTAGGGCTGTATATTACCGAGTAATTTGCACCCGATATATTGCGTATAAAATACATATAAAATACACTCCACCTAGATTGATTAGATGCTGTATACTCCGTACCAGACCACTTTTCCTCGCGTGCGCATTCGGAGGCACCGCATCCGAGAAAATTTATTTGTCGATAGAATGAGCTCTCCTTGACCTGGACAAGACCAGCTACTTCTAACGACGGCCAGCTCAATCCAACCTGCACATGACCGACAGCTGTGCAGAAGAACCGTCACCATGAAGTTCCTAGCAAAGCTGAGCGACTACCCCAGCATGCTGCTGGCCGGCAAACCATCCAAGAAGGACCGGTTCATGCTGTTACTGGGAATCGTCTGCGCCATCGCGTCCGGCGTCCCGTTTCCTCTGATCGGAATCGTCTTCGGTCAGCTCCTGGACGACTTTAACGATGTTACCTGTGCTGCCTCTGCGTCATCTGGCTCAGACGCTGAGGAGCAGGGCGGTATCAACGACAAGATTCTGCTCATTGTTTATCTTGCGATTGCGCAATTCGTGGTTATCTATCTTCACTTGACTTGCTGGAGTCTGACGGGCGCTCGACTTGCGCAGAGACTGCGAGAAAGCTACTTGAAAAACCTCATTCGCCAGGAACCGTCGTACTTCGACAATCTGCCCCCGGGAGAAGTTGCGTCCAGGCTCAATGGCGACATCCAGGCCATCCGCTCGGGGACCTCCGAGAAAGTCGGGATCTGTCTATCGAGTCTCTCATTTTTCGTCACCGCGTACATCGTCGCCTTCATCAAGGACTATACCCTCGCCGCTATGCTTCTGTCGTTGATCCCCGCCTATTTCCTCATGTCGTTTGTGGGCAGCCATTATATTGAGAAGTATTCTGCTCGCATGTCGGACTATGCGGCCTCGGCTGCCTCTATTGCCTCGGAAGCCCTGTCCAACCTGGTCGTGGTGCATGCTTTTGGCGCCAACGGGCGACTGGAAGGCAAGTTCTCCAAGGCCCTCAAGGACTCGGAACAAGAGGGTTTGAAGAAATCTACGGCTGTGGGCATTCAATCTGGGGTTTTGTATTTCGTCGCATACTCCGCAAACGGTCTGGCTTTTTGGCAGGGCAGTAGACAGATTGCCAGATCCGTGCAGTCAGAGTCGGGCGGTACCACCGTGGGCGCTACGTTTACCGTGATATTTATCCTGATTGAAGGTGAGATTGACGCCAACCCAGCGCGAAGGACAATGCTAACATGATGAATAGCTACCCTCCTCCTGAGCCAAGTCGCCCCCTTCCTCCACCTATTCGTCGCCGCCATCGCCTCATTCCGTAAACTACGCACCGATATCGACCGTGAGCCTCTGATCGACGGCACGACGGACTCTGGTCTTCGCCTCACCCAGGCGGCCGGGGGTTTCGAGTTCGAAAATGTGTCATTTACCTATCCCTCTCGGCCTGAAATCACCGTGCTGGACCAGATCAGTCTTTCCATCCCTGCCAACAAGCATACCGCGGTTGTGGGACTCTCTGGTAGTGGCAAGTCCACCATTGCCGGCCTCGTTACTCGACTGTATGATCCCACCGATGGCCGGATCCTCTTCGACGGTCATAACCTGCGCGACTTGAATACCCGCGATCTGAGGGGATTTCTCAGTTTGGTGCAACAGGAGCCTTCTTTGCTTGACCGGTCGCTATTGGAGAATATCGCGCACGGTCTGATGAACTCGAGTAATCCGGACCACGCGTCCTTGCAAAGTACTCTTCTCAGCACCAATCTGGCCGACCTCGCCAGTGAAGTTCGCGAGGGTGCGGACTTAATGACTGCAGCCGAGAAGCGAGGCACGAGCGTGGTTGAGATCGTGAGCTTGGTCCGAAAGGCAGCAACCCTGGCCGACGCAGATGCTTTCATCACTGCCCTGCGCCAAGGATACGGAACAGTCGTGGGCTCAAGTGGACGACTAATCAGCGGCGGTCAAAAGCAACGGGTATCCCTTGCCAGAGCCTTAGTGAAGGACCCTGCAGTCCTCATCCTGGACGAAGCCACCGCATCGCTGGACTCTCGGAGCGAGCAGCGCATCCAGCAGGCCATCTCGGGCATTGCCAGTGGGAGGACCATGATTACTATCGCGCACCGTCTGTCTACCGTCACTAATGCGGATAACATCATTGTCATGCACAAGGGTCTTATCGTGGAGCAGGGAGATCATGCTACTCTCATGGCCATGGATGGGTCATACGCCGAGCTTGTCAAATTGCAGACGCTGGGATCGGCGTCTGGAAAGAATGATACGGCCGTCAGTGTTGACAGCGTCAGCAAGTCTGACCAGACTTCTATCACGGACGATACCGAGAACGCTAGCCTAGCCAACGCCGACCCTGAAAAGACGGAGAAAATTAACTTCTCGGCCAATGAGACTCCCGTCAATGACGCGGACGAAACAGGAGAGGAAGAAGCAGAGCCAGAAGCCCCGCCCAAATCCCTCTGGGCGTTGGTATGCGGATACGCGCCCACCCTACGACCCCATCTTCTGATCATTTTCCTGGCCCTTCTCGGAGCCAGTATCGTCGGCGGAGCGTTTTCAGGCGAAGCCGTAATCTTCGGCAACACCGTCGGCAGTCTGAACCCGTGCAAGAGCGCGGACAGTATCCGATCGAAAGGAGACTTCTATGGGTTGATGTTCTTCGTCCTGGCCATTATCGAATTCTTCGCGAACGTGGTCAGCTGGACTGGATTTGGGTGGGTGTCGGAGCGCATTGTGTGCACGGTCCGAGTGCTCTCATTCCGGTCACTATTCGAGCAGGATCTCCAATGGCATCAGTCCAAGGGCCGAACGCCCGCTTTGCTTCTCTCATACATTACGCGCGACGGCAACGCGTTGGCCGGACTGAGCGGCTCAGTAATCGGGACTCTGTTCTCAATTACTGTCAACCTGATCGCAGCTATTATCCTCACCCACATCATCGCGTGGAAGATCGCACTGGTATGTCTTGCATTGGTCCCACTGCTCCTAGGCGCGGGTCTGATGGAACTGCGTGTTCTGGGCCGGTTCGAAGATCGACACGAGAATGCGTATACCAAGTCCGTGGATATCGGCGTGGAAGCCATCACATCCATCAAGACGATTGCGTCGCTGTCGCTCGAACAAGACACATTGACCACCTACCGACGATCCTTAAAGGGTCCGCGCAAGGAGACCCTTAACGTGACTATGCAGGCCAGCCTCTGGCAGGCCATGACTTATTTCCTGGGCAATCTGGTTAACGCGCTAGCATATTGGTGGGGTGCGAAGCAGATCATCGCGGGCACGTACACGCAGACGCAGTTCCTGATCGTGGTCTTCTCGCTTCTAGTTAGTGCTCTACTATGGAGCCAGATGTTTGCGCTTGCCCCGGAACTGTCCAGCGCGCGGGCAGCCATGGCCCGCATCCTTGGCCTGATCGAGATCGGCTCGGACAAGATGCAAGGCCACGTTCCGGCGCCTACTGGATCGCTGGATGAGAAAACGCCCCATAATCTCGAGCAGGGCATCACTGTCCCAAAAGCATTGGATTCATCACCCTCAGCCTCAAGCGTCCAGCTCAACGACGTCCACTTCGCCTACCCCGCCCGGTCAGAAGTCAACGTCCTGAACGGCCTAACAATCGACATCCGCCCAGGCAAATTCTGCGCGCTCGTCGGACCTAGTGGCGCAGGAAAATCAACCATCATCTCCCTCGTCGAACGCCTCTACAAGCCACACAGCGGCTCCATCATAATCGACGGCGTCGACATCACCCGCACAGACCGCGATGTCTCCTTCCGCGACACCATCTCGCTAGTCCCACAGGAAAGCGTCCTCTTTGAAGGCAGCGTCGCCTTCAACATCGGCCTAGGCGCGCGCCCAGGCCACGAGGCAAGCATGGACGAAATCATCGAGGCGTGCAAACTGGCAAACATCCACGATGTCATCACATCCTTGCCAAACGGGTACGAGACGCCGTGCGGGACTGAGGGGAGTCAGTTCTCTGGCGGACAGAAGCAGCGGTTGTCGATTGCGCGGGCGCTAGTTAGGAGGCCGAAATTGTTGATTCTGGATGAGTCGACGAGTGCGTTGGATGCGGAGTCTGAGCGGTTATTGCAGATTGGGCTGGCGAGGGCGGCGAGGGGGATTACGTTGGTTGCGATTGCACATCGGCTGCATACGATTCGGAGGGCGGATGTGATTTTCTTGATTGAGGGGGGTGTTTGTGTGGGAAAGGGGACGCATGAGGAGTTGTTGGAGCGGTCGGAGAGTTATCGGGCTAATGTTATGCATCAAACTGTTGCTACTTAATGTTAGAATTAGATAGAGGATTGGTCGTTACATGTACTTAATACGTTAGATGTAGATGGGGATTGATATGTCGTCTTTGTTAGAATAGTTCTTTTCATGCTAGTCGAGATGTGAAACTAGCCCTAATTACGTTCAATACACCATACTTTCAAACACTCCTCCGAATCCCTCAATTCCCCTACAGCATCAACCAACTCCCCAAGAACCCCATCCACAAACTCAACCTCACCCCCCACGATACCAACATGCAACTCTTCACCCTTAACAAACGAAACAACCTTCATCGGCCACGCCGCATCCCCATGAGGATTCCGAACATCCACCCGACAACTACCCCCAGCAAAGTCCATGGCATCAAAGTCCTCCCAGTCCTGATGATGCACAATAGAATCAAAGAACTTTGCCTCGGATGGCCACTCCGCGCAGTGCCTGCGGATTGCTTCAAACCCAAGGAAGTCGTACGCCGCTGATTTGGCGCTCTGCAGCTGGACGAAGCGTAGTAGGTCGCGAGCGGTCCAGTCAGTATTGAATTTCACTCGGATAGGTGTTAGTTGGTAGCACGGGCCCATCACGTTTTCAACATTGGCGAGATCGATGTGTCGGCCCATTGTCACACCGCCGAAGGTCACGTCTGTTGTTTGCAGTCTTCGGGCGAGTACCAGGGCCCATGCGCTTGTTAGCAGGGTCGCTGTTGTGATATTGGCGGGGGCCTGGGAGATGGAGACGGGCTTGGTATGGAAGATTGATGTGTCGGTGGGCTGGGTGGGTTGTCCTGGTAGGACGGAGAGAGATGACCCGGCCACGACGTTGCGCCAGTATTTGATTGCCTCGGTTTGCATGCGGCTGTCATCAATTCGTGACATGTAGGAGGAGAAGGGCGCAAAGTCGGTTACTTCTTTCCCTGTGTACAATGTCTCCAGGTCCCGAAGGAGCCGGGGCAGAGACATACCGTCGTACTGGGCGTGAGAGAGCCCGATGACGAGACAGTTTTGGTTGTCGTTGCCCTGGACGTGGAAGATTTTTAGGAATGGTAATCCGAGTGGGAATGTTGACTCAATATTCTCGTTGCAGAGATCGCTAACATATTGTTGGAGGTTGCCGGTAGCCTGTTGGGTGGTCACCACGCCCTCCAGGTCATCCAGGACAACCTGGAAGAAGCTCGACTCGTGTTCAATAAAAACAGTGCGTAAGATATCGTGGGTCTTAATCAATTGGGTGCATGCGCGGATGAGACGCCCTTGATCAATGCTCTGATCGAAGTACATCATAGTATACTGGAAGGAAGTCCGCGGAGCCTGGACAGTGGCGCGGATGTCGAGAACCTGTGAATCAGTAACAGTGTAGACATCCCGAATCGACCAGCCTTGATCGGCAAGCTTTGGTCGAATACTCTCGCTGCAAAACCGTTCGACGTCCAAGTCGCCCAGCGTCGAGAATGCCTTGTAAGGTTGGACCTGGACCGAGGCGCCGTCGAGCTTCAACCGCTTAGCGGCGTCACCAAGTCGCATGTGTTGGAAGATATCGGCCACCGTTAGAGTATGGCCTTCTGCACGAAGGCTGGAAACGAGTTTCATGGCTAGGACGGAGTCGCCGCCTCGGCGGAAGAAGTTGTCATCGACGTCGATTTCTTCGGGGCGGACTCGCAGTATCTTTGCCCAGGCAGATTGAAGGATCGTTTCTGCGGCTGTCAGGTTTGTCTGCGCGGAGCCCTGTCTCCATGCTACGTTTAGTCCCTCTTTTAGCTCGCTGAGTACGGGTCGGGAAATCCTAGAGGCAAGCTGATTGAGCAGGCTGCGATCGATCTGTCCCTTCTCGGTGGGTATCTTCTCGATGGGCACGTACGCCGAAGGGGCCATGTACGATGGAAGAGAGTCCCGAATAAACTTGTCGAGTCTTTTCAATACCGTCGCGAGACTGATTGGAATTGCGGAGCAAATTGGTGTTTCCAGGCTGTGCTTCGTTGATATCAACTTGACGCATTCTTCCTGGGAAGACTGTTGCTCAATCAAGACAACAAGCTCTGACGATGCCTGGATCACGGTCACTGCAGCGCGAACCGTGGGTGGGAGATATCCTTTAAAATGACTTTCAATATCCGCAATGTTCACGGCGTGACCTTGGAGCCGCACGATGTTCTCCTCTCGACCAATAAATACTAGACTGCCATTATCTCGTAACTGGACCAGGTCACCGGTACGTTGCACCTTGCCCGCTCGACCGGGGCATGTAGAGCTCCCCGCCACCAGCCAGGCGGGTGATTCAACGACTTCTCCTTGCAGAAAACTCCCTTCCAGCCAAAGCTCACCACCGCACCCGATAGGCAAAAGTAGCGACGGATTGCGCGGGTCACATACCCAAGGAACCACCGCAGGAGGATAGGTCCATCCCGGCTGAGTGCCCGCATCAGCTCGGAGCGTTCCCGTCGACTCGTCCAAGGACAACGGTGGAGTCTGATTCCAGCACCATATCTGCTCTAGCTCTGCCTCAGGAAGACAAGATAATTCGTCTACTCCCCGGGAGATACCCTTCGTCAACTCGAGACAGACCATTTCGAACTGTGCAAGGACCCGTTCCATCTGCGCGACCTCGATAAGCCCGCTATCAAAGCTGGCGCATATTCTGAAGCCGCCCTTCCGTATCCCACAGGCAAGCATCAGCGGGTACGGATTGAAATGGAGAGCCTCACGCACGACATCTCCGTGCTCAAAGCCCAGCTCGTCACCGATGTATTCTGGTTCGGGCTGGATTACCAAACCGGTGGGGGCTTCGCAGGCATGCTGAGCGTCTTCGCTGACTTTCCGGATGTTCTGCATTCCCATGTGCTGATAGGACGTGCGGGCTAGCAGGCCTTGCTGTACTGTCTGCAGATAGGATTCGACTGAGGCTAAGCGGGGGATCTGTATACGAACAGGGACCGTGGCAATCAATGGACCAACAATGTCTTCGACTCCCGCCAACGGAATGTCCCGACCCGTGAGCGTCTCACCAAAGACGACATCGTTGCTGCCGGAGTACCGTGACGCCAGTAGCGCCCAGGCGCCGCGGATCAAAGTTGCCATCGTGAATGGCCACTTGGCACTGGTTTCTAGCGGAATCTGACGATCCAGCATGGCATCCGGAGTGGGCAGGTAGTCTCGAGAAGGTAGACGCGGGAACTGTGGCCCGACTGCCCCGTTTAACTCCTGTCTCCAAAATTCCTTCATGGCGGTTTCGTCGGTCTCACGGACATACTTGACAAAGTTCCTGATCTGTGCCTGTGTATGTGTGTCAATGCCTTCATCCTGCAGGGCATCGCTGACTTGCTTTAATATCAGCGGCTCGGACCATCCGTCGTAGAGGACGTGGTGGACTGTCCAGACCATGTACCGCTTCTCTTCATTTGGGTGAGAAATGATGGCGTATCGAGCGAGACTTTCTCCTAACTGCATTTTCTCCTCCTGATCATCCTGGAGGTACTGTACGAGGTCCGTTGAATGTTTCCACGAAATGTCTGTTTTCAGCACCACCTGCTGGAGGCCAGGTTCTTGGAGCTGCGCTAGCTGAGTACGCAGGATAGGGCTCGCTGAGACTACCTGCTCCCAGGCCTTTTTCCAGGCATCCAAATCGATATGCGACGGGATGGATGCCACTCGCTGGGCGATATATGCCTTGGTCGACTTGATAGAAAAGGTAAAAAGGGACTCTTGTGTAGGCGTGCACGGATATATGTCTTCGACTGCGGCCAGATCTATTCCGCACGCCTGTGATACCGCGAGACAGGCGCTGTCCGCATCTGTGGAGATCATCGAAAACGGGGGGGCTTCCACCTGGGCTTGCACATCGCAGGTCTGAACAACACCAGCCATTGCAGAGAGTGTGGGGTGGCCGAATATGCTTGTTACAGAGAGATCTAGACCGTGTGTTCTGCACACAGGCACCAGTCGCATCGCCCATAAAGAGTCGCCCCCGAGGGCGAAGAAGTTGTCTTCCAGACGAATAGTTGCAGGGTCAAGTTTCAATGTCTGCGCCCAAGCCTCCCGCAAGCGCTTCTCAACCTCGGTCAGGTCCCGAGCGGTGCTAGTGTTCTGGTCTAGCTGTCGCAGGTCGACGGTGGCACCAAACTCGCGCAGGCGCTTGCGATCCGTCTTGCCTGAGATGAGAACCGGGATGCGGTTTACCGGTATATATGCGGTGGGCACCATATACCGGGGCAAGACCTTGGCTAACTCTGCATCCGCCGTGGACAGCGTCATCCGCAGCTCATCAGGAAAATCGACCGATTGGAGATCATTGGTCTGCCCGGACTGGGCAGCAATAAAAGCCACCAGTGTCGGCTGTCCGTGTGCCTTGATCACCTCAGCAATCACAGTGGTATCCGACGGCAGTCTATCTCTAAGCTGGCTCTCGATCTCGCCCAGCTCAATGCGTTGTCCCCGCAATTTGACCTGCGTATCCTTCCGTCCCGCAAAGATGATGCCTCCGCATCCGTCGGGATCATATTTCCCCAGATCTCCGGTCTTGTAGAGACGGCCTCGCCGGCCAACGTGACTTTTGTGGCCCGCCACAAGCCAGGGTGGATTCTCGATAAACGATTCAGCAGTTTTGACGGGATCGTTGAGATAGCCCTGGCCGACGATCGGGCCCTCGACCAGCAGCTCACCTACCGCACCGACGGGAACAAGCGAATTGTGGTCGTTGGGGTTGACAATCCATATCGCAGCTCCATTGCCCGGTCCGATAGAGATATAGTCTCTCCCCGTGGCCGCGCTGCTGTTGACGGTACATCCGATCGTGCATTCACATGGGCCATACCCGATGATGATCCTCGCGTCCTGGCCCCAGAGCGTGACGTCTCTCGCCGAGGCAGCCTCTCCTCCAAGCCCGAGGCCACCGCTGAGCGATGCAATGATTTCCGGCTCTAAAATGCGGGCTACGGAGGGGGTGATTCCGGCATAGTTTACCTGCATTTTTCGGATGACTTCGTTGATATCGTTCAGACGATCTTCGTCCGATGGGATACAGAGACACCCGCCATTTCCAAGCGTCAACAGCATACTGTCGATGCTAACGTCGAACGCGTAGGATGCAAAGTCTAGAACCCGGAAGGTCTCGCTGTATCCCACTGCCTGTGCGCGCGGAACGGCACTACTCGTATACGTTCTATGAGATACCGTCACTCCCTTCGGAGTACCGGTACTGCCAGAAGTGAAGATGGTGTACATGAGTGTGGAGGGCGACACGGCTGGCAATTCCGGGACGACCTGAGACGAGGCATGGAATGTGTCGGCCTCAACGACGATACGGTTCCCACTCGGCATAATCTTCATCGACAGGTCATGCTGTAGTCTAGAGGTCACCATCGTCTTGGCACCGACCTGCGTCGCCATATTCTGCAAACGGGCCAGCGGCAGCGTGGGGTCCATCATCACAAAGGTCGCCCCTGCTTTCATGACTGCCAGCACGGCGACGATTGTCCATCGGGACTTTTCAAAGCACACGGGGATGATATCATGCAACTTTACGCCCATCTCATGCCGGAGTATGGACGCAACTCGCGTTGAGTACTGATCGACCTCGGCGTAGGTCAATTCGCCGTCCCAGGAGCAGATGGCCACTTTGTCTGGGGATCTCTGAGCGCGCTCGGTGACCATGTCGTGCATGCAGAAGTTATACGAGGGAGGGAGGGTTTGGTTCCAGCGCCAGATCTCATCGAGGTCGTAGGTCGTTGGTCGCATGCAGTCTTTTATGGAGGCCTCGGGGCTCGCAAGGCACATTCGAACGGTGTGGACTAATGTTTCGACGTGCGATGTTACTGTAAACGGAAGTATGTTGTCGGAGAACCAGAGGGGTCGGATTTTCAGGTCGCTGTTGTGGAGGACTATCTCGAGGTGGAGTGTACCCTTTATTGGTGCAATTAGCCAGTTTGTCTGCTGCTGGCCAATGGACCATCACTTACATCGTCTTTGACTTGATCGAGAGAAGTAGAGAGAGCGCCGGTGCTCAAAAGAAGGCTAGCAGACTCGGATATAGAACGTTTTTCCGGTGAGCTTGTCGCAACATGTTGAGAGATTGCTTCAGCCGTCTGTCCAAGAGTGCTCTCGAGTCCACCTAACATCACCTCCCCCATGGACAGAGATCTGATAGCTAATTCATTCACACGGTCGTTGTGAGTCCACTCGAAGCATATCTGGCCATCTTCGCGTGTGCGCAAGAGTACAATCAGCCATGACAAGAGTATAATCTCATCTTTCATTCCAGTCGGTGTCGCGAGTCCATCAAGCGTGAGGTCGGCCATGTTGAAACAGCGGAAGTTGTTGTCATCGGTATTGCCGTTCGACAGCAAGTCGTTGGTCTTCAGGGAGTTCATCGTGTTTTTCCCGTCGTCCCAAGTAAAAGGAGGCGGCCTTGTAGCAGTGTCCGATGAGTTCCAAGGTAGTTGAACGATGAAGAAGTATAGTCAAACAGGCCGCGGTATGTCTAAGGCCACCCGCGCAGGAAGAATAAAGTCATAGGCTCCATCCTTTCGGTCCGAAATCGCCATTGCAGGAGCATACAGTGGGCCAAGACGCAGAAATTCCCCTACGCATGGGTTCTATACTTGGACCTGTGTCCGACGATAATGTCTTGTTGTATGTTCGTATCATTAGTTGCAGTATGGTAATGAAAAACCTTGTATCGGTTACTGTATGGTATATATCAGAAGTGGAGTATAATTTTGTTGAAATTTGCACCTCGGACATATTAATCATACAATTACTGCTCGGGATCGGGCATTTTTATTACAGCGTTCCGCCCTATGGAACTGGAGTTCGGCCCTAAAATCTCAGTACCAAATACAATCAAATTTTTCCATGGGAACAAACGGCACTTTACACGATGATATGAATACGAGAACCAATACGGCTACTTTTATGGGCCACCTAATACCATGACCTAGTTTTTCATATCAAGCCAATATATCCATCGGTCACATTATCCTATCGGGGATAATCACAAGCTGCAGGGCCGCCAACGAGGCATCCGCTTCTCCACAAACGCCCTCATGCCCTCGTGGAAATTGGGTCCAGCAATGAGCCTTCCATACCAGTCATCCACCAGGGCAGTACTGCCATCTTCGACACTGGCCCTCTCCCAGCCCATGTGAAGCCCCTCCATCGTAACCCGGAGACTGTCGGGACTATTGCTCGCGATGGCGCTGGCAATCTCCACCACAGAATCCAGCAGTCGGCTCGCTTCCACCACACGGTTTACTAGTCCCCAGCGCTCGAGCTGGGATGCGGAAATGGTATTACCGCTAAGCGCTAGTTCAGCCGCTCGTTGCTTGCCCAGCACGCGGATTAACCGAGGCAGAGAGCCAGCTACTGCTGCGACTCCGCGTCGGACTTCGGGCAGTCCGAAGGTTGCTTGTTCGCTGGCGAAGACTAGATCGCAATTGACTACCATCTCGAATCCACCTCCGAGACAATATCCGTTCACAGCCGCTATGATGGGTTTTGTGCCCCGACGGCGCGGAAGGCCCGCCAGTCCCGGTGCTGTCATTTCGTTTGTTATGCCTTGTTCGTTGAGCTGGTTCCATTCTGCCAGGCATTAGATAATGAAACAAGAATAGGGATTGCATCAAGAACCTTTAATATCCGCGCCGGAGCAGAAGGACTCCCCGGTGCCAGTGATGATGGCTACCTGTAGACTGGGCTCGCTATCGAACCATTTCCATAATCGTTGTATCTCCACGCTCGTACTCAGCGAGATGCAATTACGCTGCTTTGGCCGATTTAGAGTAAGAAGCAGTGTCTGCGGAGTTGGAAAATAAACTAAACATCCCTGAACGGGTGGATGCGACAAGGTTGCTGACATAGTGGTGTAATGATAGCAAGAGAATGGTGTGGAGAGGCGAATAGGAAGCGAGGTGCTATGCGAAGGCTTAAATACAAGACATACATCATATACCATCTCACAATTCGTCGGATGTTGATAGTATTATTGTAATACTCCACTCTTTTACTCGTCCTTCCTCGGCTCCGGTGTCTCTATACCTCGCCACTGTAGTCTTTTTACCATATATTCAACTCATGCCCTCGTATCACAGGAGAGCTATTCTTTCTTATTCCAATTGCCAACTACAATACACAACACCCATCAGACATTATGAACATGGACAAAATGGCCGCAGATTCTCCGGCCCAGAACAAGCCAACATATCCTTGGGTGAAACTCCCTCATCCCTACCTTACCACATACGCCATCAATGTTCTTTCAGAGTCTATCCCCCGGGTACTTCAACTCCAATTGTACAACTCAGAGGCCGGTCAGTCCCTCCCAGAACCGCTACACAACAACTCTCTCCGATACACCGACCTCTCCTGGGACGAATCCGCCGCGAGCATCCCAAACAACGACAACAGCCCACACGCACGCAGTCTACGCGCTCCAGGGACCACAATTCATTGGACAGACAATGAACTCCCCAGCCTGGCGCAAATCTGGAACGTGATTCACGCTGCCTTCCTCACCCACCCACAACACGCGATGATCCGACTGGATCTAACAGGCTCCGGCCATGAGGTGATCCGCGAGGAATGCCTACGCACCGGTCTGGCAATCCCCTTTCCATCACCACAAGCCCCTTTTGGTAGCGAAAGCGAGCCCTCAGGCCTCGACACCATCATCCTCCTCCGTTCCGCCTTCTGGCAAGGCGCTGGTTCCCCACTGGGTCCACGGCCCATCTGGGCCGTCGGGCAGGATACCCATGGTCTGCTCCGGCGTCCAGGCAGCTCCTATCCGCCACTGGCTCAGAACTACGAGTTTACGATGAAGCTCCCGCACGAGCGCGTGTATGCGCGCCATCCCATCCGGCCGGTCAAGCCTGCGCCGGGATCGCTGGTGTACAGCCGGTACATCCCACATCTGGACCATCATTTCTCGCTGATGGTCGTGGACTGGCAGAATGAGAAGCATCTGCGGCGGTTCAATAAGTGGCAGAATGACCCGCGAGTTGCGAAGGGGTGGAATGAGACTGGGACGTTGGAGGAACACCGCGAGTATCTGCGCCGGTTGCATGAAGACAAACATGTTCTGTGTCTGTTTGGGCGCTTTGATGAGTTTGCGTTTGCGTATTTCGAGGTATATTGGGCAAAGGTATGTTCTCCCTATGAATTTCCCCAATGGATATGCATCTAAGCCTTGAGCAGGAAGACCACTACGGCGCGCACTACGACGCAGGAGACTACGATAGAGGTCGACACTCGCTTGTCGGCGAAGAGTCAATCAGAGGCGCATACCGCGTGAACGGATGGTGGTCGAGCGTTATCCACTACATATTCCTCGACGAGCCGCGCACAATGTGCGTGGTGGGCGAGCCCAAGGCGACAAACACGACGGTGCTGTCGTACGAGAATGCGCAAGGTCTGAGCGTCGAGAAGTACGTGGACCTGGGGCATAAACGGTCTGTACATGTGTTTTGCAGCCGGGAGAAGTGGTTCCAGTTGTGTCCGATGTTTTGGGATGGGCGCAATCGGCCGTTGGAGAGTGCGGACCGAATGGCTTGGGATGCGAAGTTGTAATTTACTTGTTCAATTAAAATCTAGTTGGTATATCATGGGTTCAAGGATTGTGAATTTCACGTATTGATTACAAGGTCTGTCAACGTTCTACCCTCTCATACGTACGCGTTCATATATGGAAATGCAGAAGAGTAGATATACCGGATACATTGACAGAAACAAAGTACATGATTGATAGGATTCCTTGGCACATGATAGTATCCACCTTTTACAAATGAGGTTAAGTTCTATACCATCACGGCGTGACATGTGAGACGCACACCAGATCCAATGACGGACTGATCCACAGTCACCGGTTAAGACTATACCCGGATGTATGATACGTTCTTAAGGCTGAGACATGAGATGTTTATGGTCTGGTTTATTCCGAGATTCCGAAATTTTGAGGTCGGGTTGAAGCGACAAGTTTCTTCCAGTGGGTTTTTTATGGACAGGATAGGCCCTTGGCGTCTCACTGAGAATAGAGTAATTCATGTAATAACAAGAGGGTAGACTTGACTTGCTAGGGCATTATATTCGGTCAGTCGGTCCTACCCGAAGTAACATGTCAATACAGGGTTTTCCATAACGTAATCCACTAGCGAGCGGCCACTACAAGCGAGCGGCCACCCGGAGTATTGCATACAAAATGGCACTTTTTAAGACCCCAATATCTCAACCAATGTTATAAGTATTCTATTAAGGATCATAATATCTAATATACATGCATTGTAGAAGACTCCATCTTTTGTCTGGAATGTTTATAATTCTTTTATCACAAGCTGGTATACCAGTTTTTAGGTCCTGTCAATGTGTTATTGTTGAGATATTGAGGCCGCTCGCTAGTGGATTATGTTATCCTAATTTAGCAGATCCCGTCGGTTCTAAAATAGCGTGGTGTTGATCCAACAGGGTCATGCAGCATTATCGCGGTGGAGATCTTATCTGTACGGAACACATAACATGGAGGTGGAGTCTAGCTCGTACGAAGACGCCTGATCTGGTGTGAAGTTAATCTAATCTGATCTAGACCCTCGCTTAGGGTTGCAGGTCCGTTTGTATTACGTGGTAATACAGTGCCTTTATAGGATGCTGTACTCTGTATTTGCAACGTCGGATGTATTACGTGACTGATACCATATTTACTTTCATATTGCTTCCATATTACCCCGATATTGCCTTCTATTCTGAGACATGTCCATAATGGCGCATGGGTCTGGTCGGAGTCGCTTAGATAAAACTTATCAATCGGATCTAATCAATCATTCGGGGTTTAACCCGACAGAGAATCCAAAGTGAGAGCCGATCTCGGAAAAAAAGGCCCTGGTGGAAAGCACGCTGCTGATTTCTCTCATCTCTTCGTCCTGCCCATATCCCAGAACACTCAATCCACAACACCACCGAGCACCAAACTACCCTGCTTCTAGCGAAAATGTACTCGAAATTCTGGCCCAAGGGCGGCCTCCCCGGCCTCCTACACCACTATGTCCGTGCTCTCCCCAACTCATAATCTACTGAACACAGCTGACAGGTAAATCAAATAATGTAGACAGAGACTCTTGTAACCTTCGAGTACACCCCGACCGCCACAGCCCACAAGCCACACAGTCTGCTCTTCATCGGCGGGCTAGGCGACGGCCTCGCCACGACCTCCTACATGGCAGACCTTGTCCGCGCCCTGCACCCCACAGACTACTCCGTGTTCACGCTGAATCTCACATCCTCATACCAGTCATGGGGCCTGGGCCATTTAGACCGCGACACCGATGAGATCGCGCAGTGTGTGCGGTACATCAAGGAGTACAAAAACGAGAAGTTCGGGCCCGGGAAGATGGTCCTCATGGGCCATTCGACAGGGAGTCAGTGCGTGCTGCATTATTTGTACCGTAACAATCCGCACGTAACGGTGCCTGGATTTGATCGGGACTTGGAGCATGTGCAGCGACTGGCTGTCGATGGAGCCATCATGCAGGCGCCTGTGTCGGATCGCGAGGCGATTCAGTGGGTTTTGAAGTGGGGGATTGGGGATAGGTCACCGGAACAGTGTCAGGAGGTGTATCAGAAGATGGAAGCGTTTGCTAGAGACGCGGCACCTCGGGATGAAGTATCCGGGTTCGACACCTTGTTGCCACTGGAGCTGACGTCGACTATATACCCGTCTAACACGGCTATCAGCTGTCGGAGGTTTTTGAGTCTTGTTAGTCCCGAGACTCCCCAGGCGCCTCGGGAAGATGACCTGTTCAGCTCGGATATTAGTGATGAGCAGCTGGAGAAGACATTTGGGATGGTTCGGCGGCAGGGGTTGTTGAAGGGTAGATTGGCGATGTTGATTTCTGGGGCAGATCAGTCTATCCCGGACTGGGTGGATAAGGATAATTTGTTGTCAAGGTGGAAGAATGCGACGGACTCGGAGGGACCGGCAATTTGGGATCAGGAACACAGTGGCACTATTCCGAATGCGTCCCACGCGTTGAGCAATGACGACCAGGCCGAGCCGCGGGAGTTTCTGGTCAACAAAGTGATGGGATTCTTGCAGCTGGATACTGCCAAGGATGATAACTAGAATGGCACTGTATTCTTGAAGATCTGATAGAGCTTTATGATTCATAGCAGCCTATTACTTGGGTGAATGCATGCATAAAATCGATTAGACTTAGTCAAATCCACTAGCAAGTCATGCAATACAGGGTTATTGCTCACACTCTCTCTAGTTCACCCGGGGTTGCGCGACCAAAAAGCGGTCTCACTTTAACATGCCCTAAGACCAGCTAAATACTACTACATTGATTAAATACCTGGCACATACGACCATAGGGTGCGGAGAACAGGGCTTCCCGTCCGCTCAGCCATACTTAAGTCACATGTTAAGCTCGGTCAATAGTTATTTTTGCCCTTTTCTCATTGCCACTTCAAGGATGATGGCCGGGTGAGCTCTAGTTGGGTGCAGGTGATTGAGGTGATGCCTTCAGAGTCGGGTGTGAGCAGGGCCACGCAAAACCAAACAGTACTTCTAAGGCATAAGTAGGTATCGTTTCACTTGACTATCGCTTTTTTTTTTTTTTTTTTTTTTTTTGTCCCATATCTTTCCAGAGACACAGTCTTGACACTATTTATCTCTTCAAATATAAATATGTCACATAATCGCAGGTTTAAATTAATTCAAGAATGCCCCAAACTTAAAAATTTCGCCCCCTTTGTCACGGACCATGGACGCTCTCTAGCTGTATAACATGTTTGATTACTTTGGCCTATTTGGCGTATGACATTCACTGAGCATCGCTTAAACCCTTCGCACACACTAGATAGCTCGCCGGCAGGCCTGCCTCTTGGGCATTTTGGACGATAAAATCATCACCAAAAGGCAGTCGGATATTACCTACACCCATCACATCGTTGTCGGATTCATTCGGTAAGTTAACTCGGCCTGAATTCACCGGAAGGAAGCTAATGAATAGTGATCGGTCATGGGTGATAGTCCAGGCAGTGCCAGTATATAATACCCATTCTTCATCAGCTCTAGCAAGCTCATTATTATCTACCAAGTTGGCTGTACCACTCGGTTGATTTCGCTGTCGATCATTCTCCGGCGGTGGGCGTTTGTTAGGGTGTTTTGTCCAACATTCATCCTCTATATGGTGGCCTTTCTTGCAGTATGAGCATAGCGGTAGGGAGCTCCTACCCAGCTTGTAGGATCGCTTGGGCTGACTATCAGACTCTTTAGCCTTACCCTTTTCAGTAGTCGGTGGTTTTTCTCGCGAAATCGGTGAACGCCAGGGGTCCTGCCGAAAACGGTGAACTTTGTGGGGAAATAATTGCCTGTAGTAGGCGTACGCATCTGAGCTTCATACTCAGTAAGGACTTCCTGTACATTGAGCGTATGAATATTCTTATGTACGAAGATGGCTGTGATCTTTTTAGGACTCATGCTGGTTAAATGTTCGTCGCCGAAGGAGCGGATGACTCGACCGAGTACCATGTAGACTGTTGCGGCGATGAGAGGCGCGGCGCAAAGGATGAGCATTCCTTGGAGGGCCCATGAAGAGATTTCTGTTCTGTCTTCGTGGGGCCATGCTCGATTGTAGTATCCGAATGTTTCACCTGGTCGATAACCTAGCAGCATTAAGAATTAGTGACTGCGCTTCATCCAACCAATACAAATTCCGATTCCAAACCGCCTGGACGAAGATCTTTTCCAACGGAAGAAACGAGGACGAAAAGTTCAAATGCCTCCTGTTTCTCCGTTTCATCAACACGGATAAATGTTCCAACTGGAAAATCAACTTCAAATCCAGAGTCAGCACGTCATCGAACCCTGACGAGATTTATCAATCCGAGAAGCTCACCGGTGAACTCGAAGATGTCGATAAAACGCTTAATGAAGAGCGTAAAAGCACTTTTTATTCCACCAAAACTAACAATGCTAGGGGGAAAAAGGCGACAAAACAAAGGACAAGAAGAAATACGACCACTTCAATAAGTTAGGTCACAAGAAAGAAAACTGCTATTTCCAATATCCGGAGAAGAGACCTGAAAAGACTGCTACAGACTCATACGTCACCGAAGCTATTCACCACGCTCTATCTAGAGAAATGCCTCAAGCAGTGATACAAACCTTCTCAACCAAAACCTCGATGCCACCGATAGACCGATGGGTCTGCGACACCGCAGCCGACGATAATATGATCTCCTAACCCCCTGGGTCCTGTTAGTCCTATCACAACAAGGATTTCGATGTCGATGGGCCTTGGTGAAGCCTCGGCGTGGTGGAGCGCGTGGTAGGCGCAATTACAGAGGGACATTTAGAGCAATCTCGCTAGAAACTTGTGCTTCCCAATTGTGAAAGTCCTTTACTGTCAAGATGAACGTATTTGGTGGGTGAGGCCCATGCAATTGATAGTGATGTACATAGCGTGTATATACTATTCGGGGCGTCTTGTCATGATAGTAGTAATCAAGTTTATTGTCCTTATCGAGCCCCATGGGCTATGAAAGACAGTGCGGTTCGTGAGCACAAGCTCCTACTTAGTTTCTAGATACATCTTTGGCTCGCCCCATTCCGCCTATCTGCACAGGGCATTTGGGTAGTACTCATCGCAGAGTATCCCTCTAGCGCTACAATAGCTGTGGCTAGAGGGGCCTGCAGTTTTCCATACCTTCCTCATTCTTCGTAGCATTCTTTGCCAGCTCAAGCTGGTTGTGCGGGGGAACTAGGTGTACTAGGAGTCTGAGGACCACGCTAGTGAAGTTCGAGCATCTCGTGGTAAATGTCGTGTCGGCGGCGGGAATCCAACCCGTGATCCCAGTTTTGGGGCAAACCCTCAGCAAAATCCCTCGTCTGAGAGTCCACTCGGTGTGCATACCACAGCACAGCCGCTACCGACCTTCTCAATCGCAGGCATAGCGGCGCGACTGGTTGTCGGCAGGATGGCAGTACGGTGCCAGCGTGTCTCTCGCAGGCATATCGGCACCAGTGTAGTATTCAGAGACGTCGCAGGCAGAGTTGTTGGCGCGCTGGGCCCAAGGGGAATTCCAGCTGTCTTCTCGTCTCATGGCCTAGAATCAACACGGGATGGGCGCGTCAGTGACGCGCCCCGTCAGGGATACACATCCACAGGTCGTATCCCCCATTAGATGGCAGTACGATGCCGGCGTGTCATGGCGTGCAACATTTGTAGCGGGATAAGGGAGGCAGGAACCTTAGCTAGTCCTTGTTATCATTGCCCATTTCGTGCGTATGGTCGGGAGGGCGCGCACGCGTCGGGGGACCAATTCAACGTGTCCACACAACCATCGCGACCCGGGGATTCTTCTTGGTTTCCTCGTCAAAAGACAAGTACTAACACCGGACACCACGAGAAGGTGAAAATCCATCGTCCTGAGAGCTGGCGGCGATGCTCTCATCCAGCGTGCCTCGCCGGAGGCCAGGGACACAGGGCATCGAGACGGGTCTGGGTCGGTTCGGGCCGACAGTCGAACCGACAGTCGAACCGACAACCAGTACCCACTCGACCAGTCATAGCGTTCTGCTAGTTATGGAAATGCATGATTAGCCACATTGGCTTGTGCGATGCATGGACTTCGGATCACAGCCTTGTGCCCGGGGCCTAACTTACCGCGCTTTAGTTTGTCAGAAAAGTCCAACCTATATTTCATACCCGGATTCTTACACCTGGGTCGCCATCGTACCTATCTGCGTGGAACTATGATTTTATGCTGTGTCAATCCAAATGGATGCTGTATCCTTTTAGCGTGCCAGGATAGTTGATTCATTGGGTGCTAGACATAGCTAGCCTTAGCCGATAGGCACCGAATCCATCCAACTATCCACGCATACCAAAAATTAATATGGCTAGCGAGTCTCCGCGAGCTCAGGTGTAGACTCGCCAGCGTGAGCGCACGTTTAGATAGACAAGCACTCAAATCAGCTGCGTATGCACACATCCGTTCGTTAGGCAATATACTTCTTTCGTCCAGCTAGTCCTCTCCATAGTTATAGACCTCGCTAGTCGCGGATAATCGACTCCTCCGGACCTCCGGCCCCCCGATCCCCATTTCATATAACACCGTTATCTGATGAAAGTCAATAACTAGTTAGTTAGATTAATATTCGGCCCGATTACCGAGGCTGACAGATTCAGCTCCGCCCGCAGATTGGCCGTCACCTGCGCTCCGAGTCCGACAGGTCTGGATTTGTTTGGAGGGGAAGCTGCGTATAATGACGCAGACGTTGATGAGACAAGGAGATCAACATTTGTCAGCGTGTCAAGCTGATTTTGCAAGCCACTGTAGATCTTGAGTGATGGGGGACATCAGCCGTCTGCCGTCAGTATTTGGATGCTATTGTATCACTGGTGTCTCTATTTGTACATGTAGTTGACGCAATCCAAATCTTGGAACGTCCATGAGACATAAGGATGGGCAAGAAGAGCTCACTGTTCTCATGCTGAGTCACTTATCAGGGGTTGGGGAGGGGGGGCCGGGGGGGCTCTGTTTGTGGCTATGTGCAACAGTGTAGATGCCAAGTAGTTCAGTGTTTGAATTTGGAAGAGAATAGCCAATTATTAGTGGCTGTAGCATGCTAGTGGAGTATAAGGATTTCAACGGAATTGAAATCACGCGGTGCAGCATAATATTGGGTGATTGCTCACCCTCTCTATAGTGCACTCATCCAGGCTCACCCCTGGTTGCGTGACCAAAAAGCGGCCTCACCCTCTAACTCACTCAGAAGGCACCCACTGAACTTTTATTATTATTATTATTATTATTATTATTATTATTCATACACACATCTGTCAGCCCTATAGGCCGAGTGGCGGCAGGTCCTGCGGGGCAGCCGGGGAAGCCGCCGTAATGGTAGTCGCTATGTACATCGTCGCCTTTATACACATATCCTGATATCTCATTCCGCGTGTTGTATAGCCCGTGCTGCTGGTTTTCGTGCCGCTGTTCCCATGGCCACGAGGATCCATGGGCTTGTTGGATACTATCTCGTTTCCTTCCCTACTTCTGCAAGCGGCATGTATTGTAATGAGAAGAAATATCTGAGGGCTGGATTAATTAGTGCACTGTATTAAATAATTATGCGTGGTGTGCAATCTGCAGAATGGTGGCTAGCTATCTCCACAGCATTCAGCTGAGCCATGAGCACATTGTGTTGACTACAATGCTCAGCATGATTTCATAGGCACTATTTGGAGTGAATAGAGGAAGAACTTGGAACTCTTATTGAGAAAACTATCTATTGTAAGGCCTATTTACAAACAATCTGGCGGCCATTGTCATGGAGCATAGATGCTCACAAGATGTATGGCATGTTTGATTACTTTGACCTGTTTGGCATAGGACATTCACTGCGCATCGCTTAAACCCCTCGCACACACTAAATAGCTCGTCACCGGCAGGCCTGCCTCTATCCTTCCTCTCCTCATGTTAGAATTTCGTCAGATAGTCTACCAATAGATTCATATTGCTCGAGACCGTCACAGCCATCAACTAACTATAAAGGGAAATCATTGCGGAGAAGACAAAAAGAGTGAAACATGCATAATGTGAGTATGCGCTGGTCAATAGTCAAAGGATACTGGCTGCATAGCCATAGTCCCTGAGTCATTTCCATCCATGCATATGTTCATGCAGTAGTAAGTTGGATGTTCAAGGTAGACAGGAGGCTCAATCTCTGATTGGTCAGTGATTGCTTAACTGTAGTAGACATTGTGTTATTGAAATCACCTACCACATAGACTTTACATGCCAATATATGATATGTTTCATCACATCACATCATGAAACCTGGAAGCCTGAATCACAGAGACATTGCTGTGAAGTATAATCATTGGATGTACTGCTGACTGCAATAGTTCCCATGGTCTGTGTATACACAATCCAGTGGATAACGTACTTTGAATCCATCAATGTTGTCTAATGCATTGAGAATGTAGAAGATACACCACCAAGGATGAAGTTGAGGGGAGTAGAGGAGGGATATTACAGCTGTATTGCATTTGAAAATAGGTTCCACACAACCAGCATCTTTCTGCATATGTACACGCAATTATCAGCCTAGCTGCAAGAATTCAACAGATGGCTAGCTGAGAAATATGTGCGCTATTTACACAGTATTACCAATAGGATCTGCATGTATGTCTGATGACGCAACAAGAGAAGGAGAATTTGAGAGAAGGACAGCGGATTTAATCTATAAATACCCCCCTACAGTCTCCTTCAGGCCGTCCACGAAAGATAATCTTCAAGCTTAAGGCAATATTCAATAAGAGAATTGAGAACAAGGTCAGTGAACAGTCCACTTTCTCTTATATATCTGCTAAGCTAGATCAGCAATTCATCCCGCTTTCAACATGCCTCGCGAAATCACCCAAATCTCCAAGGGCGACACCAAGGACCTCCCAATTGAGATCTGGCCCGATGGCCTCATTACCTTCCAAGCCGGAAGTTTTCGTGATGATTACCTCGAAAATGGCGAGAATACCGTACTGGAGATTCGCACAGGTGTTGAGACTCTCCTTCACCTGTCCTTGAGACACAAGAAGCTGGTTCTGGACAGTCGCAAATCCGATAATGAGGAATGGGGCTCCAACAGGGAAGTCATTGAGAACTTCTCCCTCAACCGCAACCGCCCAACTATCACCATCTACCACCACGGCAAAGAAGGCTTCCAGATTCTGTTTGACTACCAGACCGTTGCCTTCTACCACAAGAGTGTCAACAAGACTGCCATTGCCAAGTCTGTTCACTATGCAAGCAGTCCCCCTAGTGCGGCGGGAGCTTTGGACAAAATCATTGATGTTACCGCCTATGGAAATCTGCAAGATTTTAAGTTGGTTAATTAAATGGTCTTTCATGTATGCTAGATGGCCTTTGTGTGGTTTTTAGTCCCTCAAAGCAAGGGTTTTTCCCACACATACATGTGAATGCAGAGGCTATATAATTGTGACTTTATGATTTATACTTTCCAGCAAATGCAAATATGGATTTCAGTATTTCTCTAGGTTTGGCATCATTCTATGTCCTAGGATTTCAAGCCCGTGGCAGTTAGTAGATACTATAAAATGATATTCCTCTCTAAACTAGCGTAGCCAATGCCATCAACGAGATATTGAATCTGGATAGGGGAAAAAGAAGAGGAATCTATCTACAGTGTAAAGGGGGGCTTATCTATGGGTTGCGTGATGGCACTAGTGCTTTCTGTGACGGCTCAACGCCAGACAGACAGCGCCAACATGTCAAATGACGCTATACAAGCAATATGGGCAAACAAGGGCTTAAGCCGCACCACAAAAATGTCTATAAAGACCGTTCATCGCCTAGATAAATTTCCTTTTCTTCTTCTTCCCCTGATTCGATATTCTCATCATTAGGATACCTAGTCTAGATATGAATATTATTCGTTTTATTTGTTAGTTTCCGAGCCCGTGACACTTTCTTTGTTTGCTTGGATGGCTGCATTTGCTGCATCAGTGTAATGGCTCAGCACTGCATCAATGCCATCAATGCCATTATCAACAAACAGCATCAACATGGCAAATGATGCCACATGTCATGGGCTCGGAAACTAGCAGATAAAACGAATAATATTCATATCTAGACTAGGTATCCTAACGATGAGAATATCGAATCAGGGGAAGAAGAAGAAAAGGAAATTTATCTAGGCGATAAACGGTCTTTATAGACATTTTTGTGGTGCGGCTTAAGCCCTTGTTTGCCCATATTGCTTGTATAGCGTCGTTTGACATGTTGGCGCTGTTTGTCTGGCGTTGAGCCGTTGAGCCGTCACAATGGTTGGATGTTTATATGGTTCGTCCATACCTCCCCCTTGCATTCCACGCAGGCCGTAGTGTCAAGTCATATCCTGAGGGTCTGTACGGGATCGTACGACAACCCCATAACATTTGAAGTTGAAAGTAGACAGCCAATGATTAGTGGCTGTAGCATGATAGTGGACTAAAAGGATTTCAAAGGAGTGAAATCGCGCGCCACAGTGCGATGTTGGGTGATCTGCTCACCCTTTCTATAGTGCACTCACCCAGGCTCACCCCCAGTTGCGCGACCAAACAGCGGCATCACCTTCTAACTCACCCGGGAGGCACCCACCCAACTATTGACCGTAGATAAGCCACACACCGGCCGGTTAGTAGCTGGATGGGTGACCACTAGCGAATCCCGGCTGTTGTATGTTTTTGTTTTTTGCCATGAGAGAAATGAGCATATCTTTTATTTGACGAGCGTAGCGAGTGGTTGTAGTTACATTGAAGTGGGCATTATTTTTGTACGTGGCAATGGCAGGTCTTCAAAAACTAAACATTTCTCCCATGGCTGCTCGGCTTATTTCTTCATGCTGAAATTAAACAAGAACTCAAGCAAAAATATAGGGGTGCTATACGTGACTATTGCGAGAGCATCATATCACAAATGATTATCCGCAATCATGCAAACTTGACCTCCCAATTACCACTCGAGATCAATTGGTGTTTACCTAGCTTACCCGCTCCATGAGCATGATTGTTCCGTTACCTAAATTATAGGGTTTTCAAGGCCGATTGATTTGTCCGACTAGATTCGCCAATAATCTCGATATGTCAGACTATGGCTTTGAGTACCCTTTAGTTGGTGAAAACCTGAATGATTTCTACCGAAAATGGTACTCTGCACTGGCAAATATTCCTATATGTGGCGAACAAGTCGATAGCCAGTTGCAGAAGTACATCGAGGGTTGCCGCCTTGTTCTCTTGGGAAACCTGAACTGGAGGTAAGCACTAAGAAAGCGTCTCGCAAGACATGGATTCAGGCATATACTTATATTCTTCTTCTGAAAAGTTATGCCAGTAATCGTTACTTTGGAACAGAGAGTCTTGAGGTGCGCAAGACGCGCATTTTGAATATTGGAAAAGCCCCTGGAGCTGACAATGGATCTACCACCATTACCCCGATTCATCAATCCTTGTTCTGAACCCGCTTGCTCACCACAGGTTAACTTCTATCGACGCTACCTTGGTACTCGTTAAAATGGAATGGTACAGTGTAAATCGACAGAAAGGATAGTCAAGGGTCTTCCTGTTGTGGCTCGTCTCGGTCATGATCGTCTCTACCACTGAGTTGGCGTCTTCGGATCTCCGAAACACCACCTTGGACTTGGATCATTGTCATTATTATCCTGTGATCATCTTATCTTTATGCACCGTTTCAACAGTATCTGATTGCTTCATAAAGACAACTGGAATTACTATTAGCCATCCTATTCCGAGCTAACTATCTGGAATTGTGTCCATATCGTCGTCCTTGCGGCCTCGTATTTAGATCACGGGGGGAACCGGGATGGTCAAGCGTTCGTCTCCATCCTGTTTTCCCACACAGGTCTATTTTTGTCTTTTTTTCACCATCATAATTCACGGCTTTAATGAAAATACTAATGGGAATAATCTAGCTTTCTGATAGCATTTGCATCTCTTCTGTATCTATACTCCCCGACACAACCATGGCCGAACGTGCAGTGCGAAAATCCACTTCCCCGGGCGAGGGAAGCAGCAAGCTACCCCGATCTCCTGGGTCGTCGCCGCGCTCAGTACCACGGTCTGCAACAAAATCCCCTAAAGAACAGGAGCAGGGTGAATATGTTGATTATGTATAAATCCCGTTCATCGATTCGCGATCAACCCTTTTTTGGTTATCTACTCGTCATGAACTCAACCGAGCTGACTTACATCTGCTTAGGGAGGAGAGCCAGAGGACGATGCGACTTCGGATTACGCAGAGGACTTGTGAGAAGCGATCGATCTTTTATTGATTGATTTCAGATCCCATGTTAACCGTGGCTTGCAATGTTCTAGTTTGAGTGACACCACCTCGATCAATTCGGAGATCACAGCTTATCGTTTTGAGAATGGGCGACGGTACCACGCATATAAGGACGGGGCTTATTGGTAACTCTCTCCTTCTATATGGCTGGATGTGCGGTTCGCCGAGGCCCTCAGGCTCACTTTCATTTAGGGGCCCGAATGATGAAAAACAGAATGAACAGCTTGATCTTGCGTATAATTTATCACGGTAACATCATTCAATGTGAAACTGACAGATTCCAGACACCACATGTTCGTTATTCTCCTTGAAAACAGATTGGTGCTGGCACCAATCCGTGAGGACATCCAGGTAAGTATATAGCGAAGGACGAGGGGTAACTGTTCATGCATCCAAGGATCCAAGCGTGCATGCTCATCAATTACTCACAGAATGTTCTTGATGTCGGCACCGGCACCGGAATTTGGGCCATGTATGTGGGCAAAGGACCGCCTTTTTTTTTTCCCCTCTAGCACATCCACTGACAAGGTACACAGAGACTTTGCGGATGAATACCCCTCCGCTGAGGTCATCGGATCCGATCTATCCCCAATCCAACCAAGCTTTGTGCCACCCAATCTCAAATTCGAGGTTGATGATGTGGAAGAGCCCTGGATACATCCGACAAATCACTATGATCTGGTCCATGTGCGCGCGCTGTATGGGGCGATTGCGGACTGGCCAGGGTTCTATCGCAACGCGCTCAGGTAATCTTATAATCCTTGGTGGTAAACGATTTCAGCGACCGGATGACTGACAGGGTGATGATAGACACATCCGACCTGGTGGCTGGATTGACCAACTGGAAATGTCCATCGAGTTTCGATCGGATGATGGCACAGTGATGGACGATCATGTGCTAGCTGTGTGGTCCAAGACGTTTATTGAGGCTGGAGAGAGACTTGGCAAAACCTTTCGCATTGCGGATCTCGCCAAGGGATATATGCAGGAAGCGGGCTTTCAGAATGTGACCGAAGAACGATTCAAGCTACCGGTCGGGCCCTGGAGTAAGGACGAACGGCTGAAGAAGCTGGGCATGTGGAATTTGGCACATTGCGAAGGGGGGATTGAAGGATGGGCCATGGCGCTGCTGACGCGACTCATGGGGGTGAGTTTCCTGATCTCCATCACCTGGTGGTGTTGTGTTTACGCAGTATACTGATGTCCAACCAGTGGAGTTATTCTGAAGTACAAGTCTTCCTGGCACAGATGCGAAAAGGACTTCGGGACCCAAACATCCATGCCTATTTCTACGTGTAAGTCTCCCATCTTATTCTATTCGAGTGGTGGCTCATCTGTATAACAGTGTCGGGGTATATGGTCAAAAGCTATGACCCTACCGGCCTCCAGCTGCCTTTTTCATCAAGAAGGCAGAATAATTCTTGCAATTGAGGCTTTCAAATACATCAATTCCAAAGGATCCGAGCCACCGCAAAGGCATATATAATGTCCAATTTTCTACTCTCGATAACCACATACATGGTCGCCGCGCACGCGTTTATTCAACACAATGCAGTAGTTGCCATTTATTAGGCCATATTAGAACTAGTTGTCCTACCATGTCTAATAACGTAATCAATCACCGAGCCGCGGATACCACCGAGCCGCGTGTTTTCGCTACACCTGCTAAAGTTTTGCAACTTTTCCGCCATAAAACTAAAT